CGGGATCAAAAATTAAATCCTATGGACTCTTGGGATTGCTTGTCTGGAAGTCTGCCAGACAAGTGCTTTCCTACAATTACACACTGTTGTGTCAGTGCGTGGGCTTAGCCACTGCTTAACAAATTTACTAGATAAACCTCCATGATTCATGCAAACAGCACTCAAGTGGCTAACTACCACATAGTGGCAGGGAACTGACTAATGTTACTTGAACAATGAAAGAACATGCTTGAACAAAGAACTAGGTTTTGATAGATCAATGGAGAGATGACTGACAGCCTGTGGCAGTCCATGTCACAACTCCACAACAAGAGCTGAGGATCAGCAAGGGAGCAGCTAGCAGCTCTTCAGCATCGTCCACCCACTGCTCAGTCTGGGAGGTTTTAGAACCAGAGGTGGCTTGGATGAGAGTATCTCACATGATCTCAATAGGAAAGTGCATGTCCTATTCTCTCCATTTAGTAAAATTAAAGGCAGAGCTGGGTATCAAGAGGAACCCACCCACACACTCCTTCATCAGCTCTCTCCTGAACAATAACAACTTGGGGTCAAAGTGACAGCAATCACATCTGTTTTTCTTTTCCTACCTGCAAATCATCATCCTGGGTATTTTTAAGATGAAAACAAGAAGTCAGCATTTCAAGCCATGAAATTAGAAACTGAGTTTTGGAAAGAGCTCTCTAGAAATTGCTCCAATAGCTGGCAGAAACGACCAATTTTCCAGAGAAGTTATCTGGTACAATCACCACAACAAATTCTTGTGCTCATACACAAAACCAATTTGAATTAACAAGTCTGTTTTCACCATAATTTAAAACCAGTCATTGAAAACCAGTACCTTCCTCACAACCGCCTCTCCATAAACCTGGAAGCAAACAGAAGCCAAAGCAAGCTATCTATATGAGATACAAGTATCTCCCTAAAGCAAGAACAAAGCACCTTTTTTAAGGTCTTCTGGGGACTGATGGCTGACTAAGACATTCTTCTGGGACTTTCACATCCTAAGAAATAGTGAAGTATTCAATATTAATTGACACTCCTGCCTTTGATATCTTGTTCTGACATTCCCTTGCAGCACTTCAGTGACCAGTGGAATATACTGGATTTCTGTTATTGCTTAGATGAAGTACGCTCTGGGGTGGGCCCTCTCAGCTGGACAAATAAATACATGTAAATGCCATTATTTATGGGGCCAGACTGACTCTGCAATCTGCTCTATGTCATTCGAGCAATTTCATCGTAGCACATGGACAGGGGCAAACCAATTGCCCCAGGTTACACAAGAAGAATGCCGAAATGTATCAGAACTTTTGAACTGCAAGCTGGGAAGCTGGCTGCTTTTTTCCCAGTGGAAGCACAGGAGGGAAGGAGGCATATGGCAGTACACAAACTCTTGTCATTTAAACACTCACACTTGTTTCTTCAGAAAACCCCATCTCTCCTGAATTCTGCAAGCTGTTTCGCCCTGCCATATTGCCACCTTCTTTTTCCTTTTACAGATTTTCTGCTCACTGAAGTCCTGGCTGTGATGAGTTGCAAGATAGTAATGGTGTACAAACTAGAAGTATCATTTTGGCTTCTTTCTTAATACACTCCTTTTTGTGAAAGGCACAAAACCCATCAGCCTTACATCTACATCTACGGCTGTGCTGCAGAAGCCTAAAACCTGCCTGAGGATTGAGCTAGAGCACCATGCAGCAGCAGAGACTGAGTTTCTTGCTGTGAGCTGACACAAGATAATAGGAGGTTTACAAGAAAGGTCCTTCCTGAATGATAAACAATTCCTGGACCATTCAAAGGATCTGACGGACCTACCTTTTTGTTCTGTTCTGTGCAGAGGGGGGAGGGGTGAAGTGACCTATATCAACACAAAAGGACCTACAAAAATCAGATTTTCAATGCATATTCAGCAACTCTAAGCAGCAAATGCAGAACAGGTATTTAAACAATAACCCTTGTAAAACCTTGCTCCCTTGTCATAGGATGTTTTAGGTTTGCTATTTTTAGCTTTTCAAGTGTCAAGAAGCAACAAAAAAATATTGATGAACAGCGCTGGACACCAAGAAAAAGCAAGTGAGGCAAAAAGAAATCTGAAGTAAGCTTCACAAGATCAGGTTAAGTTATTTAAAGCTCTCTTTCCTGCAAGACAGGTGATGCATTTCAGTCTAAATATCCCACCCGATCCTGTCCTCAGTGAACAACCAAGTGACAAACTGCCAATCAAACTGAAAAGCATCCCCATTCATCTGCGTTTCCCCCGCCACTGCCCTGCATTGCTTTATCAGCAGCTACAGAATCTTAATTTGGCTATTTTTAACAAGTACACCATTTTGCAATCCTACCCACCAGAAGGATTTGCAAATCTCTCCAAATACTCCTCCCAGGTCCTGATAACTTTGCCAGTGTGAATAGGAAACTTCAGGCTTGCAGAACAAGCCGCTGCTAGCTGACAACGCAATGAAGATTTTCTTTCCTATCTGCAGTTTGCATGAGTAGGCAGCTGGGATTGTGACGAATTACTATCTCTGATTCCAGTGCTAAGTTTAAGACATTTATTTGGCACAGTCTGTTAGAAAAGACGCTGCCAATATCAACTATCGGTATTAGCAAACTTTCAGGAAAGCTACTAAAGGTATTTCACAGTTTCTCTCTGCTTATAACAGCAGTCAGTTCAGGGACCGGAGTTTTTATTGACTGAACTGTAATTGAATTTTGCTGCACGTTTATCTCAAAACAGTGTTTCAAAAGAAAAACTGGAACATCTTCTTTTGAAAACAACTCAAATAATTTCCAGGACATAGTTATACCTTTTCTTGGAGCCCAGTCCTTTTCCCAAGCTCACTGGCCACTTTGCCTGAGAAACTGCATTTTCCATCAGCTATTTCTTCTGCCTTTCTGGCTTATTTTGGTGTTCACACTGTCATGTTTTCAGCAGCTGACACTGTAAAGCATGTTTAAACAATCCTGCAGGTCTGATCTCTTCACAGAAATATTGCAAGTATAAAGCCCCTGACCAGTATCTATTCAGAAGCTGGCATATTTTCTAACCAGTATTCAATCAAGGAAGCAATGCTTTTAGATTTCAGGAGCAATCATCATACTGATGTGTATGAATTGAAAGTCTTCAAATCTTCAGTGATTGGTTTGCAAAAGATTCAACCATTTGATCATCAGTGAGCATTTTTACACTTTCAAATAACTTCAAAAGGTGGTTTCTTCTGTCTATAGCCTTCTCACATGCCACAAGGCATCTTCACCCCACTCACAAAAGAAGCCAGATTTATTCTGATGTCATTATTTTTATGCAATAAGAAACTTCACTGTCCTTTCGCCATGCTTCTTGAATTTCGGATTCTACTTTTAGCTTTGCCCAGAAGCTTATAAACCTACTCATTGTTTTCCAGCTACTAAGCTTACAGGTACCACTTACAAATTTGACATGTACATTTAATAATTTTGTAGGTAACACTTATGAAAAAGATTAAAATCAACCAGCGGCACACACATGGGTTGTTGTAAATGTCAACTTTGATAATGCTATGTGTATTCCCCATCTTTAACATGTGTTTCAGAGATGAAAAAGCAAGAGTAAAATCCACCTATAACAAATAAAAAACAGGTTACAAGCTCCATTTCCTTTTCACTTACTGAGGCCATGTAATCTATTTTGTAATTACTACTACTAATATTATTATTAGACATTATGGTTTTATGGCTGTCACTCCACCCTAAATCATTTACCACAGCTGCTTATTTCCTTCTGTGGGACCCTCCTCTGTAGGGCAACAGAAGCCCCCACAAAAGACAAGGGAAGTAAATATTACAATACTGAAAGTGTTTATTCTCCAAATGCCTAGCCTTCTGTAAATACCACAAAGCAGTTTCAACAAATGGCTATTCAGCACCTATAGGTTTTCTATGGCGCAGCTGCAATAGCTCATTAATGCTCTAGCTTGGGGATTCGCTTTTTATGGACTTCGAAATGTTCTGAAACACATCAACCCATCATGTAAAGATGCTATTCAGCAGAAATTTCATTGCATCACACTGCAAGCAGAGTCCTAAAACTGCAACCTCTATTTTTAAAAAGCATTTAAAAATCTCAAACAAATGGCTTTAATCTTTTAAAGATCTAGAAAGACTGGAGCAAGAAAACGTCCTTTTTATAGTTCAGTATTTCTCCAAGATGAGCTCAAAGTGTTAGCTGAGATAATTATCAGAGAGACTATGCAGATCTTATTTTCAAAAGGTTTTGTTTGCTCTCTTGTTACATAATTGCTTAGTGTTTGTATGGAGCTCAGAAAACAGAAAGCATCAGAGAAATACGAAGAATTATTTAACAGAAAAATAATTCTCCCAAATGAATTAGCATTTTCAGCAGTCTATATTTTGAAGATTTCTGTTAACCTGGAGAGCTGCTCAGTGATCTAACCTTGGCAGCACAGGAAATGAGAAATGTGCCTTACCACTATTAGTTTTAAACCATTTCAGTGGAGCTGCAAAACAGCAGGAAGCAGAGAAAAGATGCAATATAGTGGCTTATGATTTCCTTCGCTTCTAGCTTTGCTTGTGACAAAGGTCACCACATTCAGGAGATAAAATCAGGACTTGCTGTAAGTGAAACCAGTGCCATAAAGTACACAAGCACTTTATGGAATCACTAAATGTTTTGAGAACTGGCTAAAACCACTTCAAACATTTCCAAGTCTGTGCAAGTTTATAAGCCAAACTCAGTCAGACTACCTGAATTTGAATAGACATTGTAACTTTTAACCAAACTCCCGCCAAGACCTTTCAAACACAATCAAAGCCATCTTTAAAATCTAAAGAGGAGGCCCTGAACTCAATACAAAGCTGTCATCCAGCACACTTATGTACGTACTACACTTAGCATGGCAAACAATTTAAAAGCTACAGCAACTACACAATTTCAATTGCCGTTTTCAGTAATTCCAAATTCATTTCATGATTCTTTACAGGTACTTCAGATTTTTTAGGCTGTCAAGAAAGCTTACAGCAAATGTGCTATGCAACCATCACAGCAGCTGTACAACCACCTTTTGCTTAAACACAATAAAATCAAATTCTACTTACAGCCAACCATCATCATGGCCACCGAAAAAATCTTCTCTCCATCAGTGGTTGGTGCTATGTTTCCAAATCCTATCGTTGTAAGGCTTGTCATGGTAAAGTAGAGAGAGGATATGTACAAGGAGTCTTTACTGGGTCCTCCTTCCCACTGCCCTGAGCCAGTGGTGTTGTATCGATATGGTGTCCCGATACTCTGTGCCAATTGGTAGAGCCAGCTATCTGTTTTGATTGTATTAGTGACTTCATCTATAACTTCGTAGTCCCCGATGCTGTACCATATGCAGGCTAGCCAGTGGGCCACCAGTCCAAATACACACACCAACAGTACCAGTACAGCAGCACCATATTCCAGATAATGGTCCAACTTCCTGGCAACCCGACCGAGTCGTAGAAGACGGACCACTTTTAAGGAACTGAAGAGGCTACTGATCCCCTAGAAAAGAATAAAAATCATTATTTTATCTGAAATATCCTGCTTGTTAACACAGAAGGCTGTACAGCAATTCCTGCATCTGCTTTAAATCTTTCCATACAATTTTTTTCATGCCCCAGATGACAGAATACAAGATCAAACCCTCCTCCCCCTCAAGAACTTTTGTCCTCATCAGGGTCAATCAAGTTTGGCACTCACTAGGTAGATAAACGACTCTGTTCAAGCTCAGTCTTTCCAAGTAACAGAAGAGTTCTGTGGAATCCAAAGTGAGCATGTTTGGCACGTTTATTACAAAAAGGAGTGATTCAATACTTTGCCAGTTTTAAGTAACCGGAGACTCTGTTTGACCTCAAGGAGGTCAAACATAGCAGAAGATCAGTCACAGATGGAACTACACCATCCAAGTGGAGTCTTCCCAAAGCTTCTCAGAGAACAGTATTCTATTAAATTCAAGCTATTCTTCCACAACGTGGGTCCACCTACTTCAACAACCCTCAGCATTAACTCAAGAGAAACATCAGAAAGTAATTGTGATGTAAAATTAATGTAAATCTGCCTATTTTCCCTCTCATTCACCAGAGAGCAGCTGGGTAACTTGCCCTAGTTCAACAGTCTCCACCTCATTTTATACTTCACTCCAGCTAATATAACTCCGGATATTTTGATAAATCGTTGTGAAGTCTCACTGACTGAACATGGAACTAACAACTGTGGGCATATCACCTTTCTGAGCGAGGGTAATACAGACCACAAGGCACTGGCAAGAAAACCACGTGCCCTTGCATATAGGGTTAATTTCCTTTCTGATCAACAGGCATTGCAGATATTTTCCTAAAACAAGTATTTGTGCGGTGGTTTGGTTTTTTCCACGCAAAATAAATGAAGTACAAATAAATGGAAGTACAAATATTTAGGGAATAGAAGCACAGAGACCATCAAAAAGTTAATAGAAACATCTGAGAGGGAACAAGAAATGTGTACGTCCTCCTCAATGCACAAATGTTTCACAATGTATTTTAATAGAGTTTATAGATGCAGAAAGAGAAGAAAAACATGTTCCTGATCTATTGCAATCCCATGATATACCTAACTTGTGCATTAAATTAATTAGTGTCTCAAAATAGAAGGTTTGTAAAGGAAGGTTTCTAATATAAAACATTCAGAAACTGAAGACATTTAATTTAAAGTAGAAATTAAGACATAGAAAGCAATGAGGCAAACATTCCTAGTTACTGTGCCAAGATTAAATTGCCCTTTTCTATGCATCATTATCAAATCAGTTTAGTAGTCAAAACACTGGCTAATTATATTATCAAACAGTAGAAGACTGGAGTTTCTGGAGTTTTCCATACCAGAAAAACATTAATCTCTTTTGCACCTCTGTTCCTTTTCACAACTAATGTTTGAAGGGTAACATTCATCTGATATTTCTAGATGTAATCTGTTCAACAAAATTCTTGTATGCTTTTCAAATCCTGTTGGAATTTGTTTCAGATCCCCAAATCCTTAATAAATTGAAGTTCTATATTTGCATTCAAGCCCTCGTGATGACTAATACCACGGATGGAAATGGAATTTTCCCATTTTGATTTCTGTATTTTGCATTTACACAAGACACAGATCTAGTTTATCATTCTTATTTCCACCTAAAAATATATCTATTTATTTGCTTTGGGATATACGTCTGTGAGGCAGACGAACAGTCAACTTGTCCAATAAACTGAGAAGTCCCTGACAATGTTCGTTACACAATGAACTGGGGCCAATGGACTACTGAATGAAGGTCACACCCCACAGAAACAATATCTACATTAGAAAAAGAAAACTACAGAGCAGCTTAACTTGGGAAATCGTCTTTTGTACCCAGTAGTTTAAGTTCATCCCAGTGGCAAGGTTTAGACTGCCCTTTCTACTGCACAAAACCAAACCAAGAGTCAACCTTGATCAGGAGTTTACAGTCTGACACTCCATCCACCATCCATGTAACATCTTCTCTAAGTTACACGGGCAGGTTAGCAGTTGTACAACTAATATAAAAACACAGATTTATTTCAAAGTCTGGGAGTGCTGTGACTTTTTTTTTCTTAAGCATAGGTAACAATCACACCTCTTACGTATAAAACAAAGACAAATGTTTCATTTTAGCTGACATTGAAATATACTCCTTCCAAAGAGTAATTTATTTAAGCAAGTTTCACTGTACGTCTTGAAACCAGTTTGGTTTGACCCTACTACTTCGAGGCCAAAAAAATCAGAGATATATTTATTGAGCATTCACATTTCATGTCCAACCTTGCAAAACAGAAAGACAATATTGGAAGCTTTAAAAGCCTATTCCATAAAACACTTCCTAGGAAAGAACAATTAAACACATACTAAATGAATATGTGATGCATCACACTGTTTAAGCACTGGGTTGAGTCAAGCTGGTATCTTTATACTTAAAAAAATCACCTGACGATAAATGCACAAAAGTTAATACACAAAACTGCCTAAGATTCAGCAAAAATCTCTTTGGTGAGATTACGTGAAAGAGTAACTGCCTTGAATTAAACATGTGCTATTAAGAAATTCAGTGTTCTAAACTCAACTGATTGCTGGCTGCCTTTAATTTCATTTTTCTTTTAACTTTATTTATGCTCCATAATTAGTATTTTGGAATATTTGGAAACGCTTCTACTGAAGAATAAGCATCTCCTTTAACTGAAGCAACCTCTGCGCTCGAGGAACAGAGAGGTAATTAGAAACCTTGAATGGAGCATGTAATCCCCTTTGGCACTAGCAACGTGTAAATAATGATTGGTTTTGACACTGAAGATCCAACCTTCTGGGAGGAGCATTTGTCACTCTATTGCTGTATTTAGTCAATTGGGCCAATCGTCTGTAATATCTGCTAATCTGTGCTCTCTGACTGAGAATATCCCACTATGTTATGAACCATCCAATCCTGCCCCATGAGGTTTTGACTAATGTATTTGATCATGTCTTAATCAGATGAGGACATTCAGCTTGCTCATCTTCAATCATCTCAGCTGTAGAAATCTTTTAACTGAAAAACCGCCTACTCCAGAACTGCATTTTGTGTGTCAAGTTTGGAACCAAATTCCCATCTGACACACATCATTGACTTAAGTGTTACAAGTGAGCATCACAGACTTTCCCAGTGACTTCTGCGGCCATTGGATCAGGAGAGGACATAAGCACTAGCTCTGAACCAGCCCTTTTTGTACCATCATTTCTAATTAGCAGATAGCTGAAGTCACCACAAAGGATGTAGACAGTGCCAAATTTATCCAGAAAAACATTTTTGATGTTCAACTTTGGAATTAAATTAACCGTTCACAACCAAACAAAGCTCAAGTTTGTTGACATAAGCACCTTGTAAAGTCTGTGTTCTCAAATTCTCTTGATATACTAAGAAAGGAAATTCAGTTTGACAGTGGAGGCATAAGCAATGACAGCACTTAGTCTGAAATGCAGAGGGACCACTCCTTGCTATTAAAATTACCTGAATCTCACCATATCAGATCTGAGATGTTACCACATCGTCGAACTTCAGTCTTCCAGGATGAAAGAAGTCTCTGAGCTGTGCGTCTGCATCTGGCTAAACTTTTCTGACCACAAGGCTGAGAAAGACATTTCCTGCAATTGCGATACACACCATGGGAACAGACCTCTGCACCGTGAGCAAGAACAGGGAGCTAAGTTCTCTTGCGCTTAATGAATCCCTGATAAGCCAGGCCATAGGAAGGATGAAGTTGTCAAAGTCATGTTATTCAGGGGTCAAGAGCCAAACACGCAAGAAGATAAAGGGAACATTGTCACCGAAGGAAAATGCAGCTCTACAAGTGCAGGAAATCATTCAAGTTACTGTGAGTGCCAGAGGTGTCCTACTAAACCAGGAAAGAGAGAGTGGAGTCTGATCTACACTAAAGGAGCAACAGAATAGCAGAGCTGCATCTTGTAAAAGACATAAAAGATTTAATCAGTTGGTTACTTCCTAATCTAATGAGTCTTTGCTGCACTAGGAAATTATTGCATAAATGTTTAAAAGAGTAAAATAAAAACAAAAACAGCCATTAGTTTCTACCATCTAAATATACTAAAATCTGCTTAAACCTCAAAATTAAATCCCAGTATGCTGAAATGGTAAATTCGTGCTTTTTTTTTTTTCTTCTTCTATTAGGGAACAATGTGTTTTTAACTTGAGGCACTTTTTTGATTAGATTTCACTCCATGATTTTTTATTTATTTGTTGTTAGCTGTGGGCACATACACAACAGCAACAAAAAAATGAAACATGCATTTTAAATGTGTTCTAAAACTGAAATCCTCCTGGCTCTGAAAATGAGGATCGGTACTGCATCATTTAACAGAAAATACTGTCTCAGAAAAGGTCAGAGGAAAAAAAAAGATCTTTTCGCTATGTTTTGATGTTCAGCATATCGTGGTTTTGAAGAACTTACAGAGTGTCCAAGAACCAGAGCTGGGAACCTTTCTATGAAATGCTGTAGGGCATGTTGCCACTGCAGTCAAAGGTGTGACTGCAGTATATACAGACCTTCTTAAGCTAAATGTAATGAATATGCTTTGAGTTGTGAGATGCGAGCAATTACAGCAACCTGCACTCAGCAAAACTAGCCATTAAAGTGATCAAATCCTCTGAGGAGTTTGCAGCCCAGGCTGAGCTCTTTATCTCCATGCAAGAGCAAAATGGTTTCAGGTAAGCTGAGCTCGAGCACACCTGCACAAGCCACAGCCACACCATGACTGAGCTCTAACCACTCTCCTGGGGCAGGATTCATCTTGCATAATGCTGCAACCTTATGCCTATCTATCTGATCTATATGAATTGTCCAGCTTTCCTCCCTGGTGAGCGAAGAGAGAAGCATATCAGAAGAGTGATTCACCCAATCCATCTCAGACAGCCAGCCATCGATGGGATGAATCACCTCCTAGAGCTGTCTCTCTCCCCTCCCACTAAATACAAGGAAGCTGAA